TTTTCCAGCATGATCACAGATCAGAGAGGGCATACCCCAGAATGGCTGAGGACCTTGTAACAGGCTCCCCATCACAGAGGGCCCTCTCTTCACCCAGGCACTGAGAAGTTCTAGCAACAGACTCCACAGGTAAGAAACCCTAGCTCAGATCAAGGCCCTCAGCAGAACTCCATGTGGACAGCCTCTTTGACTTACAGCCCTAAAACTGAGAAAATAAATTCCTACTGTTTAATAATTCAGATGACGATATAGTGTTAAGACAGCCATAGCAGACAAACAAGTTTTGCTATTACAGTGAAAATGGTATTGCTACAATAACATGAGTAAAAATAAAAGGAATGAATAACCGATGGCCAAAATGGATGGTCAGCATAATGACTTTGTCACTTTTTTATCATTAAAATTGCCAAGAAAAGTGGTGGCACAAAGTACAGAACCAATAATCTCCTTTTATGACTTTCACTTACCTATTACTTAGGCAAAGCTATACCATAAAAAATTAACAATAATAACCAAATATATATCATATCAGTTCATCATTTCATTTATTTTTTTAAATAAACATGCAGTTCTCACAGTTAGTAACAGACTATAAGTCCCTGTACAGAGAAGTCAAAAGCAAAGAAAACCCACCACAACCAGCAGGTAGCAGTGGGAAAGTGCCATGAGCTTTAAACCGCACGAGATGTGCTAAGTATGGTACAGATGCCAAAAATGTGAAATTTACAATGCATGGATAATGAAGTTATACTCAGGAAAGAGGCTGCAAAAACTGGCCTTTGAATATGATGATTAAAAAAGATTTGCAACATGTTGGCCTACAGAATTATCATGAAATTCTCATGATGTATTAGCGAAAGTTGAGCTTATTATGCATCTTTTTTCCAAACAAGATTAAACTTTTCATTAAAACCAAAGTATAAACATAGTTGTACTTCAGCTTGTCAAGAGCATTGAGCAGATGGATAGCCTCACCTTTGGCAATAAATCTAGTAACAATTTAGATTTATTGTGATTATACAATATTTTTTTCATTTTTACAAATACAAAAAAATAACTGAATTTTAGAATTACCAAGCCTTTTTTTAAAAATGTGAAGTGGATGAATTCCTATGTTTTTCGTATTTAGTACAAAAGAGAGACAGAAAGCTCTCATCCACTGCTTCACTTCCCAAATGCCCATGACCCCCGAGGTCAAAATACAAACACAAATCCCAATCTCTCGCCTGGGTGATTTGAGCCATCATCTGCAGGCGCTCAGGGAGCACATTATTAGGAAGCTGAGTCGGGAGCTGGAACCTAGGAAATGAGCCCCATACTATGCAAGCAGACACTTACATAATCACTAGATTAGACATACATCAAAATTTAATTTTCAATGAAAACCTAAAGGAAAGCCAGAGGTTCAGACTTAGATGCCACACGTGTACTCCCATCACTATGTGGATTTGCACAGCATTCCTTCTTACGACCTGATTCCCTCTCTTCCCTTCCTCAAAGCGTTCCAAGGCCCTACACCTAAAAGCAGGCGACTGTCCACTTCAAGCAAGGATAATATTGTTGCATGGCGATATACGAGAATCACTAAACCAGTAAGGAAAAGAGGAAAGATCCTGCTATAGTAACTGCCAGACAATTGCTCCTTCCTGCCTCAAGTATTAAGAGTACGTCCCTGAGAAGGACCGTCATTCCCATGGAAAGGGCCAGGTGCTGAATTCACTTTCTACTTTAAAGGCTCCAAAGAGGGCCTGATGCCGTGGCCTAGCCTAGTGGCTAAAGTCCTCGCCTTGAACACGCCCGGATCCCATATGGGTGCCAGTTTTAATCCTGGCAGCCCCGCTTCCCATCTAGCTCCCTGCTCACGGTCTGGGAAAGCAGTCGAGAACAGCCCAAAGCCTTGGGACCCTGCACCTACATGGGAGACCTGGAAAAGGATCTGGGCTCCTGGTTTTGGATCGGCACTGCACCGGCTGTTGCGGTCACTTGGGGTGTGAATCAACAGACGAAAGACCTTTCTCTCTGTCTCTCCTCCTCTCTGTATTTATATATCTGACTCTGTAATAAAAATAAATAAATCTTAAAAAAAAAAAAACACTCCAAAGAACTAGGGAGACCTCAAAGGGAGAAGAAGTTTGCTTTTAATTTGGCCCTCAAGAGATAGGAAGTAAAAAGATACCCTAGGGTTCACTGTCTAGCATAGCCCTGCCCAGCCCAGCCCTCCAAAGTAGCGGACGCAGCTAGAATCCAAAGAAAACACTAAAGCAAGAACAAAGGCCAGTCCACCCGACTTGAGGTGCAGCTGTGTCAGATACAGTGGGAGGAGGAAGCCACACTCAGGAGAGAGGCACAAAGCTCCTGCATCCAGAAAACACTATACTACTCCCTTAACATCTGGAAGCAATGCTTAATTACCAAGCACTTTAGAATACGGGCCATAATTTTTTTTTTACTTTGCATATCAGGGTTACACTAAATATTAAATATAGGTATAACTGAATAGAGAATCACAGATAATAAAGCCCATAGTTTATCGGAAGTCTTATTATAGCATTCCAAACATCTTACAATTACTATTTGCAATACAAGGGAGGACCACAAGTAAAAATAGTTATGCCTAATTTACCTGCCATTTTATGAGCTGAGCAGCATGACTGCATAGTTTCCATTTATTACCATAGTCAGAGGAAAGAAAAGTTATTGTGAGTAATCTAGCCAAAAAGCCCTCTGAAAATAGTGCTATGATACAGACAATATTTAATTACTTACTACCAGCTTTAATGTTAGCACTGTTCTTACTTGCAAAGATGCATAACCATAGCATGAAGAACAATTCTAAGATGTAAAGCTTACATGTATAAACAAAGAAGCTAAAAATGTACCACCCTATCATATTTTGAACTACAGGCACTTAATTCCAGTGTTGAAAACAGCAGGTACAAAATGATGTTTTTTAAAAGCAGGAGATGGCATTCCCATGTGAAAGAAACCACAAAACCTTATCCTCAAGGACAAAATGCAGGCACTCAAAAAAACTCTGTACAAGTCATGGGAAAACAACTCTTATCTTTTCAAGCCTCCCCATGTAATGCAGTTACTTTTTCACAATTCACTACTCTGTCCAATTCAGTCCCAAGTGCCTCGGGAGTGCATCTGTAGATATTTATCTCTTCGGGGAGTTCCTATGATGCCACATAGAACTTTTATTATTCCTATTAAGCAAATTTTCTATGTTCTTCTTCTATTAATCTGTCTTAATTTAATTAACAGGTGCAGCCAGGACTCTAACAGGAAGTGGTAAAGTTCTGTCACCCATCACAACTAAATAGGCATCCAATTGTTTTCTGTAAGATACATAAAAAACGGTACATAGCATCTGAAATTTATACAAAGCTTTTTAGCTGAAGCTATCCTTGTGGTTTAAAAAAAAAAGTCTTATTTTGACAAAGACTCAGTTTCAATACATGTGTTCACAGTGGTCATGTCTCACAAGGCAAAAACTTTTGACATCGGAAAACATCTAACTTTTCACTTACATTCCTTTCATTGTTCACACTTGCTAAAATATTTTAAAGGTAAAGTGTCATGCAAAAGTTAGTGGCCTACAATCCATAGTAAAAATCCAACCCTTACGCACGAAATGAACATCTTCAAAATAGTCTTCAAATGAGTTGTAAAGAAAGTGGGTTCAAAAGTCAAACGGACTGCGCTTAATCCCCAATTCAGTACCCTGGGCAAGTTTTACCTAAGACTTAGCTTCCTCAAAGGTAAAATTGGATAAACATTATCTATTTTGCAGGGACATTGTGAAGATAAAATAATCCATGGAAAATTACTATCCAAATGAGCAAACACGTAAAATGTTTTACAAATGGCACTATGACTTCTGATTCACTCGATAACAGACATGACTATTGGCACTATGAAAGAGTTTATGCTGTAGTAGGGGATACTGGGTTAACAGAGTCCTAGAGCTCAACGTGTTTCTCTTTCAGCTACTACACTGCTACCTTCTCCTTGAACAGACAACTCATACTGCAATCGCCAAAGTCACAGGATTATGAAGCAGTCAAAATTCAAGAGGCAAACGGGGGAATGCTACAATACACCAGCCCGAGGCTCAGGCAGGAAGTTGGAGGGATACGCCGTGGCACTGCATTAGCAGTCAAACTTCAGCAGTTTCCTGCCTGCCAGCAGGGATGAGTGTCAGTTTTGAGTCCCTAATAAAAAACCACAACTACGTATCTCAGTGGAACTTGGAAAAACAGCTGAAGACTCTGCTGGGTTTGGAATTCAAAGTTGCTTGAGTACATCAGAGGGGTTCTCTTTGGGACACCATTTCCTTTAGATCCGGTTTCAGCATGCACCTGCTAACATCTTTTGCTATGTGACTTCAATACTGGACTCCAGAGTTGCTAGTGGGCTTGGTTTCATGGCTTACATGTTACTGTCTATTTACGTTGGTTTCAATACTAGACTGGAAATTCTTAGAGTGGATCTCTTTATGCCTTTCCCACAATCACTGCAATTGGTAAACAGGAAAAATTGATGTGCATTTATTAAATATTGCCAAGGACTGTGTGTGTGTGTCAAGCAGATACAAAATGCAAAGACTGAAAATGTGTTCCCTGCCAAATAACAAATAATTTAGTCGTAAATAAATATCAGAACTGCCGGGATGGAAGCCTATGATAATGGGTGTGAGGGAAGGACGGGAAGGGACATGTAGCTAGAATCAAGGAAAGGGAAGTACTTCCAGTTAAACAAGAGAAAGCTAAAGAGCCCCAGGCATTCAAAAGTTGAAAACGACTCTGACATATAATAGCATGACAAATGTCATTGGGGAAACATTTTAAAAGAGAACATTTAAACAAACATTTTAAGAGAACAAAGTAAACATTGATGGCAAAAGTCAATAAATGAAAATATATCTGACCAAAAAAAAAAAAAAAGCCTACTCTGCCCCCAAATTGGATATGACAGTATACCATAAAGAACCTTACCTCCCTGAAGCTCCTTTTGTTGGCCCTGGAATCTCAGGTACAGGCCGATGCCTTAACAGAAAAGAGCGAGATGGTCTTGAAACCAACTTACTGCGACTTCTCATGGGTGCCAAACTTGGCGATGATGGTATATACAAATCATTTATAACCATTTCCCCTTGAAATTGAAAGAATGAGGATGGTGTGGATGATTCCAATACACCGTTGGATCCATTTACAGAATTTGTGTCTGATGCTGAGGAGCCAAGGGGAGAAAGACACTCCGAGTCCATAGTAGGCAGCTTTTGGATAGTGTCCGACATCAGCTCAGCTTTTTCTGCTTCCTGCTGTTCAGTTGCACAATCCACAACCTTCTTTGCCATCAAAGATGCTGATTTAATATTTTCACTACCAAACATAGAATCCTGAGAAGAATCCAAATTCAGGTGCAGTTCTTGATCTGGAATGGGAAAGTCATGTTGAGGAAGTGACAGCTTACTGTCTGACTTAAGAGACTGGCTCTTTCCCATAGTAATGTCATTTTGCTCAAGACCTTTTGTAACAGTCTCCAACTGCGCTGAGCCATGTGGGTGAACACTATGAGAGTTGGAGATTTCTCGACCAACGTTCTGAGCGGAAGATGGAACACGACAATCCTTGGAAGAGTCGTCACTCTTCTTTGTTTTATGAACATTCGCATAGACCGGGATATCCGGCATCTTTGACAAGATCATCTGTAACTGTTTCAGTATTCTCCTGCGATGTCCCGTGGGTGATATTCCAATTCTGAGTAGCACGCTATCATCAATTGCAGCACAGGCCTTCACAGTATGAAAGCCAGACTTGTGGAAATGTAAGAGATACTGCTCCAAATTGATACTCATTAGGAAATCTTTGATATCAACATTTACTTCACTGACTGAGGACATAATGGTGGCTTCATTCCTAAGGTGAGTTATCAAAAGGAGCACAATGAGATATAGAAACAAGCAGATACACTTCTCCGTTTGCTTTTTGCTTTCACTCAGTACAAAATTAAAAAAGCTTGTCCAAGTTTTGCTGTTTCCACGATGGCAGGTTTATGTCTTTAAGCCTATAAAAAATAACAAAAAATGTGTTATAATATTTTAATTACTATAACCTGGGCTCACACAATCAACTTTCTCGGTAGGAGCACACTGAAAGTAGGACAAGCAATGCTTGGAACTTATGCGCACTTCGCACGCCCTAGAAAGCCAAGCCCTGGGCACAGTGCAGAGAGGACAGAAACAGAAGAGAAGTATCAAGCTATCATTTTCAATAAGCTAAAAAGTGACTATGAGACAATGACAGAATGAACCATGAGTTAAAATGTTATTCTACTTGTGAAATAATAGGGTGGTAAGGATACAGCACCTGTGGGACAGGATTATACTGCACCCCAGAAGTTGTTATTTCAAGTAGAAGAATTAGATAGCCAGGTTAGATTTCTCTTTTAAAGGGTTAACGTTGGGGCTAGCACTGTGGCACAGCAAGCAGGTAAAACCACTACCTGCCCATGCCAACAGCCCCTGTGCACGTACACCAGCTTGGATCCTGCCTGCTCTGCTTCTGGTGCAGCTCCCATCTCAAGGGCCAAGAAGGCAACTGAAGGCATATTAAATCCTTGGGCTGCTGCCACACACATGGGAAACCCAAGAGAAGCTCCTGGCTCCCAACTCTATTCAAATCCAGCTCTGGCCAGGGAGGTGATTTGGGAAGTGAACCAGCAGAGGAAGATGTCTTTCTGTGTCTGTCTGACTGTCTCTCTATCGCTCTCCAATTCTACATTTCAAATGAACAAAATCATTTTTAATGGCTAATATTCTATTGTCCAAAAAAATTAGAGCATTCAGAGTTACCTTTTATCCTGCTCAGAAGTATTTAAGCTAACTTGCCTAGTGACTGACTAGTCTCAAAAATAAATATCCAAGTAAAACCTAGGAAGTAGAACTATACATCAAGGACGTAGGCCCCAGCATGCACCTGGGAGACCTGGAACAAGCTCCGGAATCCTTCCTTTGGTCTGGCACAGCCTTGACCATTTCGACCCTTTGGAGAGTGAATCAACAGATAAAAGATCTCCCATATTCTCATTCTTTCCCTGCACTTCCTCTCCTCTCCTCTCTTCTGTAACTCTACCTTTCAATTACACACATACACACACACACACACACAAATCTCAAAAAACTGTGTCCCAATAGGGCACTGAAACATATCTTGACTTTCAGAATACAGTTCATTTTTCTTATTTATGCGCTTATTTATTTGAATGCAGATTTACATGGAGAAAAGAGGTGAGAGCGCTTCCATCAATCGATCCACTGCCTAAATAGGTTCAACGACCATGGCTGGGACAGGCCAAAGCAAGGTGTTTCACTGGGGTCTCCCACACGGGGGCAGGGACCCAATCATTTGTATTATCTTTCCTACTACTTACTTGTACAGGTGCTTCAGCAGGGAGTCGGATTGTAAGTAGAACAGTCAGGAAAGGAACTGAACCAGCAGTCATGTGTATCACTGACGTCGGCAGACTGACCATCCACTATGCCATAGTGTCAGCCCAATTAGGTACTGTTTCTTTTTTAATTTATTTATTTTTATTAGTAAGGCAGATTTATAGAAAGAAGGAGAAAAAGATAAAATGTCTTCAGTCTGTTCCCCAAATGACCACAACAGCTGGAGGTGAGTCGACACAAAGCCAGCAGCCAGGACCTTCTTCTGGGTCTCCCACACAGGTGCAGGGTCCCAAGGCTTAAGACCATCCTCTACTGCTTTCCGAGGCCACAAGCAGAGAGCTGGAAAGGAAGTGGAGCAGCCGGGACACCTACTGGGGGCCATATGGGAATCCCAGCATATGCACAGTAAGGACTTAGCCACTGGGCTATCATGCCAGGCCCCTCTTAGTTTTTCTTAAGAGTAACTAAATATAAATAACTTTCTCCTTCATTACATTTTCTTTAAAAGACTCTTTTTTTTTTAAAGATTTATTCATTTTTTATTGGAAAGTCAGATATACAGAGAGGAGGAGAGACAGACAGGAAGATCTTCCGTCCGATGATTCACTCCCCAAATAAGTGCAATGGTCGATGCTATGCCGATCCCAAGCCAGGATCCAGGAACTTCTTCCGGGTATCCCACATGGGTGCAGGGTCCCAAAACTTTGGTCCGTCCTCAACTGCTTTCCCAGGCCACAGCAGGGAGCTGGAAGGGAAGTGGAGCTGCCAGGATTAGAACTGGCGTACATATGGGATCCCGTCATGTTCAAGGCAAGAACTTTAGCCGCTAGGCCATGCCGCCGGGCCCACTTTCAAAGACTCCTTAAGAGCAACTATCATATATTTTGCAGGTCATATTTTTCCTTATAAAAAAGCAGTTCTCTATATAAATGGCATAAATATATAAAACCAGTTGAAAGATCAGTTAATTCTCAAGCACATTTCACAAGAGGAAACATGCTAACACGAAAATAAATGGAAAAACTTTAAAGGTCACAATTTCCTTCAAGAAGCAGAGTCATTAATGCCGAACAACAAAATTAAGAGAAAAAAGAACAGTCAGTGCATCTAGGTGGTAGTTATATGAATGTGTTTAGCTAACGAAAATATATGTATACAAATTCAGTACAGTGTACTTCGATAAAAAAACAGATAACATACAGACGACTTACACACTGAAGCAATAAATTGAGACACACCCAAATAAGTAAACGTCTCCAATGCAATGGCTCTGCAAATCACGTCCTGTAACAGCTTTCCAGAAGGCACTACCAAAACTCTGGGCTTACAGGCCAACTGCTCATAAACTAATACTTCAACTGCTTAGAAATATCATCAAACTTTGACAAACAGGTACAGAGTCAGAGAGGAAGCAAATATCTATAGGGGCCACACTGTAGGAACACAGAAGCAAAAACACAAACAAGAAATGAAAGGCAGGAAATACCTAAACTGTCAAATGTAAAAAAAAAAAAAAAAACAAAACTAAGCCTCAGCCTCACACACACATCCAATCCTCAGATTCAAACCACTCCAGTAACAATTATTTGGTAAATAAATATATTAAATTTATTACACATTACAAGAGGAAGTAGTCCTTGTCAATGGAACAGTAGGTATAAGGTTCATAGAGGATGAAGTTAAAAGATGTTTCATTTGCTGAAATAATGCTTGAAGCCCATGCATACAGTCATTTATCATATTTGTGATTTCTTAGGAGAGTGAATGTTGCAGAGGGGTTTCAAACAGTTCATGGAAATGGAATTGGAAGATGGACCTTTTTTCTTGGGTAGAATAAACAAAAATTCATATTCTGGCTCACTAGTCTTCAGAAAAAAAAAATAACTATACTATAACAAAAGCAAGTTTAAGAGACGTTCTCTATGGTAACAGTGACAACCTCTCGCTCCAAAGTCTGAAGTCCAGAGTGCTATCGCACAGCCGCCCTTACGTTCCAAGTCAGCAGGCTGCTACTGACTTTGTGTTCCCCAAAATCTGACTCCTGAAACCATACCTCTTCAGTGTGACCCTGCTTAGACACAGGTTCTCCCAGGAAATAATTAAGGTTAGACATAATGAGGACAGCACCTTGCTCTGATACAACTGGCTCTTTATAACAGACTCCAGAGAGCTTCCTCTCCCCCTCCCAGCCTCTTAGTGAGGATACAACAAAATAGCAGACTTCTGCAAGCTAGGAAGGAAGCTCTCAGCAGGAACCAAATCAGTCATCAACTTGATTTTGGACACCTCAGCTATTACAATTATGACAAAATAGGTTGTTGTTTAATCCAAGTCTGGTATGCCTTTTGGCGACGACATTGTCTAATACACTCCTCCATGCACCATCCTTACTTCGTGCACTTCATCCTCTCTTGCCTAGAGAACAGTAACAGTCTCTGGCTAAATCTCTCAGACCAAGCTCCAAGTTATCAGTAAACTATCACCAGTCTAACCATAACATATCACATCCCCAAGAGATTTAAAGTCTAAGCATCTTAGTGCCCACATCACATCTCTATCCACTAATAGCATCAAGTAGGGTTGACAAAAACAGCAATTATGTGCCAAACACTATACCTGATTTTCATTTCCTGCAAAACAGGTGCTCCTATGCACTAAGTCCAGGTTGACATTCAACAGGTGAATCTGCCAACACCCTTGAGTCACTTTAGTCATTATTATCATTCTGCTGGAGCAGCAAGCTGCTCAACAGCCATATTCTTCCTGTATATGCTGTGATTTCCTATAGACCATGTAAAATCTGATGCCAAGAGTTACCTCCTCTGTGAAGTCTTGCAAATGCCCCCCTTAAAACACAGTGGATCTCTCTTTTCTCTGTATGTCAATAGCTGGAATCCTGCAACTTTGCCAAGTGCTTGGGACATGTATTCAAGGTGGGGAGAAGTCAGCAGAGATGGCAGTGGTTGAAAAATCTGCAGTTTGTTTTTCCTGCATGTGCCCTTTGTAATAATACACAAGGACTTCTTCCTGTGACTGTCCCTGTATTCTTCCTAGGGCAGACAGAAGGACATAAACACCAAATGCTCTACCCAAAACCGTCTTTTTCTACTCTAACTCACCATGCTGAATATGGCTAGTGAACCAGATTCCTTTTTGGAACATTAAGACACTCTCCCCTAATAGGCTGTCACATCCTGTCAGCACTGTACTGACAGCTCCAACCTCCAATCACATGACTTTTTAACAATCAAGGATGTTTTCTGGTCTAGTTCTTTCCACAGAGCCTCTGCCCCTCCAAGTACATCCTTATATACAAAGAAATAGGAATGTCTAACTCAATTTAAAAAGTTAAAGGTGCAAATTCTAATATAAAATTACAGTCAAGGGCCTGGCACAGCAGCCTAGCAGCTAAATTCCTCACCTTAAAAGTGCCAGGATATACGTAGGCACTGGTTCTAATCCTGGCAGCCCTGCTTCGCATCCAGATCCCTGCTTGGGGTTTGGGAAAGCAGTCAAGCTTGGCCCAAAGTCTTGGGACCCTGCACCCATGTGGCGAGCTCCTGGCTTCAGATCAGCACAGCTCCCGCTGTTGTGGCCGCTTGGGGAGTGAATCATC